GAAAAGAAAGGAAAACCTTAGCCCACAGGGTAGTGACTCTGTCCACATGCAGCTCTGGCCTGTGCTGGTGGCTGTAAAACTACAGGCAAATGGCTTTTTCATGAATTTGTGCCCCAAAAGTTGGAGGCCAGATATAGCTCAAATTCTAATTGGTCTTAATAATAAAAATCTGGATTCAGATATAGGGGTAAATGCTGAAAGATTGGAGAGACAAAGGAGCAAGTCACAAACACTTCTTACCTCACCAGCTCCTCAGCCTGAAAAAGGTTGAGCTCCTGTCTCCTCAAGCCTTATAGTCCTCTCTCAGCCCAGCCATATCCCTTCCTGTCTCCACTTCCTTAGTGCTGGGATTAAAGACATGAGATCACAAGTGCTAAGATCATAGGTGTGAGCCTGTACCACTTGGCTCTGTTTCTCTTTTAGACTAGATCAATCTCATGTAGCCCAGGGTGGCTTTGAACTCATGATCTTCCTTTCACATGCATGGAAAATTTTAGGACATGGACTCCTGTCTTGGATCTAACCTTTTTATTTTCTACCTCCCTCCTTAGGCTCATGATGCCAACAGTCAGATGGGTACTGTATATACAATGGATCAGAAGGAATGGCAAATGACCAGGGTCTCTGCAGTTGTTTCCATCATGAAGAGTCAGTTCCATGCTGGCCACTACTCAGGCATTGAAGACAGACATAGGACAGACATAACTGCTTTGTTATCCAGGCTGAGCTGGGAATGCCTGAATAACTCAGCTTGTTGGCAGCCTCCATTGAGGTAAGTAGGGGGTTCCAAGGATCCCTAGATCCTTTATTCCTCGGCAGAATATCAAGAGGTCATGATTCTCCTGCTTTGAACTCAAGGATGCCACACAACCATCATCATCCCTGTGCCTTGACTGAGACATCTCTTGTGACTTGTGAAGACAATGGGCTGGCTCTCTGATGCCTCTGTACACAGCTACACAAAGGTCAGGTTAGAGAAAATCAAGAGAAAGACATGGTGAGCTTGCCCTTAAAGTGGGGTCTTATAGGGCTGACTTAGTCACCCCCAATCCTAAAGACTTCTTGTTTGGGTCTTACAGGGTATACTTAGCCCTCCCCCTGCAAAATCCTAAAGACTTGTTTGTTTGGGTCTTGTATGGTTGACTTAGCCCCCCCTCCTAAAAAAAAAAACCTAAAGATTTTTGTTTCTACAATTACAGTAATGATAAACACTAACTACAATTATGGGACTGGGAGATAGTGAGACCCGAAATGTCATTGTGCCCTCTTTGTGGAGCCATATCCCCTTGAGAAGTAGTACTCTAAGGTGGACCAGATGCAGACATTTCCCTGCCTGTTTCATCTGGAGGTTGCGTCTATAGTGCTAGGCCATGGGAAATAATGTCTAGCTTGGAAAATGAACTCAGAGACCATGTTGTTTTGTAGGGGAAATGTTTAATTTTGAAAGGGATTAATTTTAATGGGTACATTTGGAAAAATACTTGCTTTTCCAGACAGTACACTTCTGCAGAGGCATCATTTCAGACAGGGGGCAGGAGTCCTGGGGACAGTGGTGCCTGTACCCTGTGCTGATAGGGGCTGGCTTGGGATACAGGTTCTCTGGACACTTGGGCTTGGCTGTTGCCATAAGGCATTCATTTGTCTGTGGAATGTTGGCTGTGTACCTTGGGTTTGGCTTGGTAAACATGGCTAGTGTTTCCTTCCAATATTTCTGATTCTGCACTATAAATTCTGAGAGTAGACATGTCTACTCACTGGAGCTTGGGGTGGTTCTTGGTGCAAATTTTTCTATGAGGGAGTACACCTAAGGTGAATCCCCAATTTCTCTTCTAGAAACCATTCAACAGAGGTCATTAAGTCCTGTGTTTCAGGGACCTGTCAGGGCATGAATACTCTGTTCACAACTGACCTTTGGCTTTGGGTCCTGGCTGATAAGACCTTGACTTTTTGTGGGAAGATCTCTTGCACTTTGCCTTTGTGGGTCAAAATTGACATCATAAAGCTTTTAATTTGTCCTCAAACTTTTCTGCAATTGGGGAGGAAATGCATTTATGAGTATTTGACCTATACTTGAGCAGGCCTCATCCCTAAAAGCCATACATCCTGCCTGGGACTTCCATAGTCCTTTTGGTCAGTCTAACCAAAGATATGGCTAGTCCATGGTTGTGGGTTTGGAAATCTTGGGGACATTCCCTTTCATTGACAAGACAGGGTACCTGTCTTGAGAGGTTGACTTGCTTGTAGCTGACAGAGTCTTGAAGCTGAACTGGGAAGCCCTGGAGGCCAGGATATCTGCAGCAAGCATAAACTCAGGGGCACAGTCTTGAAAGAACATCCCAGTGGCACAGTCTTGCAGTACACCACCAGTGGCCAAGCAGTGAGGTGTGCTCAGGCCCAAGTCTTCTGGATCCTGGGAATAGTTCTAGAAAGGGATGGACTTTCACTGGTCTCCAATGATTCTGATTCCCTCAGATGTTCATTGCTGGTTTGAGAGTTTGCCATCTACCCGGCTTCCATGTTGAGTGCCCAGTCACAGGACTCTTCCTCTGGCTCCTCTAGTTCCCAGGTATCCCTACTATTTGGTGAATTGGATGCTACACTGATCTCCCGAACTGGCACCCCATGGTAGATATCTCCTAAAGCCACACCCTCACTCTCCTGTGACTTATATGCACCCTTGACTAGGCCTAGATTTGGCTCTGAGTTGCCCGTGCAAGATCCAACCGCTGCATTACTGTACCCAGCTGTGCCCACGAGACTCTGTGAGGTGGACAGAGAAGTCACACTGTCCCCCTGGACAGTTGTAGGGGCCTCAGAGGGCCCAGAGTTGTCACTAAGTGGAGTCTCAAGATTTCAAGCTGGAGGGCAGAAGGAAGGGTCTATGTGGAAAGAGATTTCATAGTGGAAGTTGTTGTTCTCACTTTCTCTTCTGAGTCTTTCTGAAAAGGTTCTCCCAGGACACTGGCCATTTTGACAATGGAGTCATCTCCAGATTCCCAGAAGGACAAAGATGAATTGGAGTGCTGTGGAAAGGGCAATGCTATAGCCTTGTTCACGTTGAAAACATGTATTGTCTTGAGGCCTCTGAGGGGCAGGCTCCATCTGTGCCATGCATGCTAAGCATCTTGTAATGATGTGTTTCCAGCACCTTCTGAGTGCCAGGATATAGGAAGGAGAGCCCATTAGAAGTTTTCTTGCAGATGATTGAATTGTTCAAGGATGGTTATTTCCAAGTTTCTGTATTTGTCTTTGAGTTTTCAGGAGGGGCCAATGCATGGTCCATGTGTATTCCCTGACAAATGCCCGTGGGCACCTTCCTGTCATTGGTATGCTTCTACTTGCTGCTTTAGTGGTTTTTCAGGGTCCCTTCCAGCTGCTTCTTTCCTGTTCCCACCAGGGAAACACTTCACAAATCATTTCTCAGGTGTCTTGTGGCAATGTTCTACCTCTGCCTCAGAGACAGCCTTGAGTACTTAGCCTAGGGAACCTTCCGGGCTCCTGTATAGATCTTTCAGAGCTCTTCCCAGTTTGTCAGATCCTTGCATGGGTCCTTCTATAGTTGGAATATCTCTCTGCCCTGTGATGAGACACTCCGTGGATGCTGGTACTTTCATCTGCTAGTGCTGAGGATCATGAAGTCCCATGAATAACGTCTACCTGACCCATCCCTGGGAGTTTGTCCTGAGACTTTTTCAGATCCAGAGATAGCTGGACCTTTCAGGACCATTGGCCCTGGTGTTGTGTGAACCTCTTTTTTTATGTGTTGTTTCAGCTGTTCTTGGAGCTTGGGGGTTAATGAATTCTCCTGGTAGGTAGACAACAGAACACTTTCCCTGGGAGATCCAACTTTTGGAAGTAAGTTGATTAAACGTTTCCTGTGACTTTTTAACCATGGCCAATAAATAACTCCTTTCTTGGAACTTCTTCAAAAGGTAGCACTCTAGGTGTTGAACAGTAGGTGGGACAATAAATTGGGATCTTGAAGCTATGGGGCATAATCCCAAATTTGATGTGAATGGCATGGTAGCTTTGGGAGAGAGGATGGGTCATGGTCCTGGGTTTGGATTCCAGCCACTGGTAGAGATATGGACCAGGACATATTTGGAGTCAAAGATTAGGCTTTGACCAAGTTATGAAGCAAAGGATTTGGAGAAAAGAGCTGTGGAGGTACATTAGTCTGAACTTGTATTGGGATGTAAGTAGAGGGTCCATTGAATAAGATGGAAGTGGGACCTACAGGGACCCCACTATGTTGACAGTAGCCACAAGGGACTCAGTGTAGAGAAAGAGGAGGCCCCAGAAAAGCTGGCTATATTTCTGCTGCAAATGATTGCCTAAGACCTTCTGGTAAAATAACTGCTGATGAACCTGAAAACTGTTCTGATTTGCAGTTTCTGATGGTGGCCTGGTTGCTGCTCCAGGACTACAGTATCCTGCCCATACAGCCCAAGGTATGGTCGCATCTTTCTTTTCCTCTTACCATCTAAACTTTTAGTTCAACCTTATTAATCTGAAGTTCCAGCACCTCCTGGATATCAGGGTTGATGAGAGTGGGCTCCCCAGCCTCTATCTGCCTGTGTATGGGGCCTGTTCAGAATGAGACCTCTTGAAGGCTGAGAGAAAGGTGTTCTTACAAGGACTCACCATGTGACAAATTGGAGTGGAATCAGGTTTTGGCAGGTACCTAGTACCAGGAAGGGTCTAAGATAGACTTGCTTAAGTGGTTTAGGCCTGAGGTGGTTGCTTGAGTGGTCAAGGCCTGGGATGATTGAGGTAGGCTTGCTTGAGTGGTCAAGGCCTGGGATGATTGAGGTAGGCCTACTTGAGTGGTTAAGGCCTGGGATGGTTGAGGCAGGCTTACTGAGTGGTTAAGGTTTGGGGTGGTTGGGGTAGGCCTACTTGAATGGTTAAAGACTGAGGTGTTTGAAGTAGGCCTGCTTGAGTGGTTAAGACCTGGGGTTGTTGAGAAGGGAGAAGGCAAACCTGGCAGCAGTGTGCTCTCTGAGGTCAGTAGTGTTTAATAGTAAACCAAGGAGCCTTCATACTGGAATCTGGCATGGATGGAGAACAAACCACAGGATCAGGAGGATGAGATGGGTAGGAAGGTGCCCATGGTGGTGAGTGACGTCTTCCATGAGTCAAGGTCTCGGGTGGATGAGAGGCACTCACAGACGACTGTGACTTAATAGAAGCTGGGGAATTCATCAGGACATGTGATAAGTTTTTAGAATCTTTGGGCAGCAGATGTTCCTTGAGAGGAGTGGAGAAAGCCTCTGGGGACAAATTGGTGGCCATAGACTCCTCTGTGGGCTGCCTAGGTGGCAGGTGGGCTTTGGTAGCTTCTGGTTTGGACGCTTCACCTGAGGCATCTTGTCTTAAGAGCTGGCAAATGCTGATGGTATTGACAAGCCTCTCTAGCATCCTGTGGAAGACAGGAGATATGATTGCAGTATCTGGGGCCAAGAGGCTGGGCAAGCTGAGCAGGGGAGAACCCTCGAAGTCCATCACAACCACTGTTCCACACTCTGCTTTTTACAAGACCTTGTTATCTTAACCTCCAGGACTGCACTCATATCCCACCCATCCAGAGGGCCCCTATTCCCATGGTAACCTTATGGCCTGGTCGGGGCTGATCACATAACAGGCAAGAGGAGTGAGGAGCCAGAAATAACTGGAGATGGCTCACCTGTCCACAAGTGACATCAGTACCTCGTCCCCCTTTGGTTTCTTCCTGCTGCCTCTGCAAGCTGGAGATGGAGACTGGGTTATGGTGGGTAAAGGAGGGACCCAGTATCTTACCAGAGATGGAATGAAATGCCCCTTCAGTAAAAACAAACAAACAACAAAAACAGGAGCTCAGGCATCCGTGAGCAAGGCACATGTGGAGCAGGACTATGCCATGAATCAGGCACGTCTGTCTACTACTCATGACCTAAACGGGCTTTGTAATTTCCCTGTGGAGGGGAGGGAAGGGCCAGTGTTCTGAAAGAGGAAAATGTCTCAGAGAGGTCCAACAACCAATGTGCCTCCAAATCCGGGCAGCATGGCGTCACTTCCTCCCACACCGCCCCTCCCCAGGCAGCACCCAGTCCTGGCCGTCCCTAGCTTCATTCTGAGTACAGAACCTGGGAAGTGTCTTCAGTTCTGAGTTCCTTCCCAGGAACCGCCCTCTTCGGGGGTTCTGTAACTCATTTGGTGTTACCACTGGGGGTGGGGCAGGGGAGATGGTGTGGGGGATGAAGTAGCCTACCTTTGGTGGTCCTGATTTTCTTCCTGACCTTGTTGTACTCCCTCTTCACCACCTGGCAGAGACAGACAGCATGTGCAGCCCCATTCCCTTATCTATAATGTGGGCAAATATGTGTTTTTTTCTTTCTCTTGGAAAAAACAAATGGGGACTGTCTGTGACATCCACCACAATGGTCAGTGTTCTTCTGCTCAGGGACCAGAGGCTCAGCTCTGAACTACCAGCAGTCACCCCCTGAGGCCAGAGGAGACTCATGTCCTGGAGCTCATTGTCCCTTTCATATTATCTCAAATGACCCTGTAAGCATGTATGTTAGAGGCTGACATGGGAACCAGTAGTGTTCAGAACTTTTCCTTTCTCAGAGGTACTTAACTGTCCCAGGAACACTGTCCCTGACCACCAAGTCCCAAGTATAGGTGGAGTGACAGCAGAAATCTGGAAGTGCACTCTCTGTTCTGCCCTACCTGCCAGTTCTCATGAGGATGGGGTCCTGCTCTTGGCTGAGATTCCCCTGCCCACCGCCTCCCTATTTGATTTGGAAAGTGGGGTCTATAAAAGGAGAGGCAGGGAGCTATTCTCTATTAGTTTGGGGCTAAGGTATTCTTACCTTTTGGGCAGTGATGTTTTCTGCTGATGGAGGTGAGAGTGAGTTAAGGTGGAGGAGGGGTAATAATAGGTGGAAGAGCCCCAGCCCACACACAAAGGCAAGGATCATGTCCATTGCCCAAGTACTGAAGCTGGGGGTCAGCCATGCAGTATCAACACTTTCCAGAAGGAAGAGAAAATTCTCCATCTGAATCTCACTGTTGCTCTCAGGCAACTGAACGCTGAGAGTTCTCTCTGGGAGTCGGCAGCTGGGCCCAGGTCCGCATCACAGAGCTCCTATCTTCCTGTCACAAAGGGTTCCTGAGTGGGGGAGGGAAGGTAGGAAGAGGTGACAAGAAAATCACTCTCCATCCTCCAGCCTCCACAGGTCTCTATCCTCCACAGCCTTCTGCGTCTCTGTTTCCAATTCCACCAGCACACTCTGTCAAAAATAGAGGCTTGTCCATTTTCTGTTCCTCTCCTACCTCCAGAAAGGATTGTCCATGTTCTGTGGGCTTTTGACACTTCTAAGCCTCCTCCAATGACATACCTCCTCCAAAAGGCCACACCTCCTAATTCTTCCCAAACAGTTCCACCAACTGGAGACCAAGTGTTCAAATCTATGAGCCTCTGGGGGTTTATTCAAACCACCACATTCCACTCTCTGGCCCTCCATAAGCTTGTACAATATCATAAAGCAAAATTCACTTAGTCGACTTCAAAAGTCCTCATAGTCTTCCACAGTCTCACCACTATTTCAAGGTCCAAAATGTCTTGAGAGACTCAAGGCAATCTCTTAATTGTAACCTCCTATAAAAGCAAAACTCAAATTACATGTTTCAACATACAATGTCACAGAATATGTATTCCCATTCTGAAAGGGAGAAGAGAGGGTGTAGTGAGGAAATACTGGACCAAAGCAAGACCAAAACCCAGCAGGGAAAACTCCAAACTCTGCATCTCCATATCTGATATCAAAGGGCTCTTCAGATCTCCCAGTCCTTTCAGCTTTGTTGACTGCAACATCCTTCTTTCTCTTGGGCTGGTTCCACACCCTGTTATCAGCTTTCCTTGGCAGGTATCCTGTGGCTGTAGCATCTCCAACATCTTGGCATCTCCAATAAAATCCAGGCTTCACCTTCACAGCTTCAAATGATGGCCTCTCTAGGCCTCCATGCAGGCACATCCCTGACATATGCCTGGCCTCAGCAGCTTTCCCTAACCACAGAGGATGATTCCACAACCCCTTTATTCATGTTTCCTTCATGACTCTAAAGCCAGAATCACATGAACAAAGGTGCCAAGTTCTGCTGCCTGCTTAGGATGAAGCCTGGAACCAGAACCCTTCTGGAATTGTATTGGCATAAGCTTTGATTTGTTGTCACTCTTTAGGGACAAGTCATACCCTGAGGCCTTTTCTTCTCACAAGTTACAGGATTAGCTAGGTTGGGTCTTGCCTTGAGGGTACCACTCCCTTTATTCCATTCTTCTTTATCTTTTTCAGGACCAACTAAGGCTCCAACATTAAATTTCTTGTGTTCTTTTTCTTCTCAAACTGTACATTGATATTTCTTTTTGCCCTGCTTGTTCTTTTTCATTACAGATCTGCATAACAGTCATCTCTAATAACCACACAACAGTGTCAATATTAAACTGTCTTGAAATGTTCTCTGCCTATTAAAATCTATGAAATTAGTCCAAAGCTTCACAATTTAGCTCCAGACAGACTCTTTGGACAAGAATGGAAAGCACCCATGTTTTTGCCAAAATATCACAAGAACTGACTTTAGCCTGGAAACTAATATTATTCCCCCCTGGAGTCTCTTGATCTGGGCCTCTATAGTCCGCATTGCTCTCAGCACTACTTTATTCCAAACTCTTACTAGGACTTTCCTTAAAGTCTTGTTTACAGCATTCAGCCACTTTCCTAGTCCAAAGTCCCAAAGTCTTCCACGTTCCTCAAAAACCTAGCATGGTCAGGCCTGTGGCAGCAATACCCCAGTTCTGGTACCAACTTCTGTCTTAGTTACTTTTCTATTGCTGTGAAGAGACATTACAACCAAGGCAACTTATAGAAGGAAGAGTTTATTGAAGTTCACAGTTTTTATGGTGGGTCCATGACCATCATAGTGGGGAGCAGAGCAGCAGATAAGCAAGAATGGTACTGGATTGGTAGCTGAGAGCTTATATCTGATTGAAGGCAATAAGCAGAGGGGAGGGACATGCCAGGAATGGTGTGGGTCTTATGCCAGCTTTGGTATGGCATGCCAACAATCTCAGCACTTAGGAGGTAGAGGCAGAAGGATCTAGGATCTCAAACACATTACTTGAAGTGGGGATGGTCTACCTCAAATGTGGGCAGCACCTTCTGGTGGCCAAGATTGAAGGGGGCTAGAAAAAGAAATCTTTCCTTTGCCTTCTTGTCTTCACTCTTGCTGGCAAATTAATCTATTCCATTACTGCTGACTCATTCATTGATATTAGAACCAGATTCTTCAGGCATCCAACATAGACAGAAAACCATCAGACATCTAGAAATTATACAGACCTTGGAGACTGTGGACACATATAGGCTCTTTGATTAAACAACTACCAAATTTTGCCTTCTTAACCTCTATATTAAGAAGTGAATTCTCTGAGCAATGTATTTCTGGGGTTGTAGATAACAGAAGGCAAAAGGCAAAGCACCAACAGTAATGATTGGCACCTAGTAGGGGCTCAGTGACCTTGGGGTCTCAACTCTGACCTTCAGGTGGTAAGGTATCTATTAATGGACCATCGCTACTGGGATGCCCATTCATCCATCATTCAAGAACAAATGGAACCCATCTGGACAGCAAAATAATACCCTCGATAGAACATCCCAAGCATAAAGGATGAGCTTCGAGATGCCCTTTGCTTGCAGAGAAGAAGGAAAAGTTCTCTAACGTACAAGCACTTTAAGAGTAGAGGGCTCAGAAGGAAGCAGCTTGAAAGAGTCCATGTCAATCTTAGCTCTTGCCAGCAGGGTTAGATCCAGCAATCCTAACTGCAGGGTTAGTCCCAGCAGTCCTACACATATTGACAATTGTTTTTCAAAATGAGTTTGCAGCTGGTGTGAAGGGAAGACTGTATGAATAACATTATCAAACATGGACCTACGGAGAGCGGCGCGTGCATTCGTCTACTTTGTTATATAATTTCTACCAAAGTGTCTCAATTTTCAGTGCTGACAGCTCCATTTCCACAGGCTGGTTGTGAGTGCCCAGCTTTTGAAATTGCAGTGGATTGACACCTCACAGCACTTGGAGGAAAGCAGCCATTCAGGCAGGGGGCCTCTTGGGGAGAAGGGTGAGGAAGGAATGTAGATTTGCTGGAAATCTCCATTCTCTGCTAACAAAAAAAAAAAAAAAAAAAAAAAAAAAAAAAAAAAAAAAAAAAAAAAAACTTTAATCCCACCACCCAGGAGGCCTCGGAGTGTGCACATTTTGAAATTCAGATGTCCTGCATTGGAAGACATAAACAACGGCCCGTTTCTAGGTTCTGCCTGGCCACCTGTTGTAGCTGTCTCCCCATCAGACTCACCCCATAATAGCTTCTCTTCATCACAGTTTGAGCTATTTTGAGATGGACTTGTCAGGAGTGGAAGAGGAGCTTCCTGCCATGCGTGAAAGTGGATGCTGGGATGGATGGATCTCGCTGCTTTGTAGAGGGCAGAGGCATTCTCTTTCAAGCTGCATAAGTTAGAACTCGTGCACAGTCTGCATGCTGAGTTCTTACCTTCACAGTGGCCTAGGAGGTATACTGTGAAAATGGCTTCTAAAATAAAGGGATTGCATAGAATTTAATGAAGGCCCTTCTGCCTTTTAGGAGAAATGTAAATGATATGGGCATCTGGGTAAAAGTTGCCTTAGTCTTCTCTGCAGGGAAAACTCTGAAGCTCAACCCTGCCTGAGACAGTCATACAGATTTACTACAAAATCTGTTCCAAACTGCCCACCCTAAAACCAAAATAATTTTCATCTTAGAAAGAGAAATTTCTGGGGCCTTTTAGGTGACAAAGCAATATGATCCTTAATGGCAAATGCACCATGAGTCCTTCCTGAAGAAGGGCTCAGCATCCCATGGTTATTTCTACATGTCAGAGTCACCCTGCCACAGGGCATCTCTACAAAATAACAATGATTGCCGCAGTCCTGAAGTCTTCCAGAGTCTTCTTCAAGAACCACATGTTTACCAACTCATAGAACCCTTAGAATAGCCTTAGTATATCCATGAAGAAAGTTTGTGATTGACTAGTTTCTTAAGATTGAATGCTACAAAGACTCTTTGGCTCAAGGTTTAACCCTCTTCCCTTCTAAACTACACTAATTTATGATACAATAAGTAGAGTCATGGATAGAAGAAGAACAGCATCAGAGAAATTCAGAATATGGGATTGATTCTGATCATGCTGAGCAAATTGTGGTGTATCCTTCTGTATCTGAACATCCACCATTCAGCATATGGCTGGTCAATACAAGGTTTCAAAAAAAGTGTTGCATGAATTAAATGTGAACAGGAGAGTCTGTGATGACTGTGTTGATAAAAACCCAAATCAGGACACTCACAAACAGAGTGGTCACAAGCCTAGGGCTTATCTAAACAGCACTAAGAATTTTTTGTCCATTGGTGGAGTGACTAAGCACAAATGAATTAACTCAATCAGATCAACTTCACCTGACATGGTCTTTGGAATCTATAAATGCATATCTAGCACGTGACTTAAACTATTTACATGTCTACACAGACACACTGTGGGTGTGCCCTGCCCAACAAGCAATGAGAAATTCTGAGTGTGTCTGTCTAGAATCTACCTTTTAGTATCACCCTACATAGTATCTGTCTGTCATCTGTTGGTTTGTTTTTCTTTCTCTGTCTCTTTATAACTTGTGGAGGGATATGCTGTGGTATTTATATTTATCAATACATGCTAACTTATTGTTATTTTAATTCACTGAGAATGTAGATAGAGAAAATTTAGAAAGAGATAACCAGGTAGAGTTTGTTGCTTGGTTAGGAAGAGCATGCTCTATAAATACATGGCAACTAACAAAAGGTTATTGCCAATCTGCAAGTCTCTTTGAACCTAACTACTGAATCATTTTAAATTAATGCAGTGCAAACATAAAAAACTTTTATTTGCAGCTTGTAAACCAAATGGCATACTTTAAACATGTCCAAAACTTAATTACAAATTAATTTTTCTGAAAATATGAGAAATTAGCAACAGAAAG